TAATAATAATAATAATAATAATAATGATAATAATAATAATAACAGTAATAATAATAATAATGATAATAATAATAATAATAATAATAATGATAATAATAATAATGATAATAATAATGATAATAATAATAACAATAACAATAATAATAATGATAATAATAATAATAATAATAATAATAATAATAATAATAATAACAATAATAATAATAATAATAATAATAATAATAATAATAATAATAATAATAACAATAATAATGATAATAATGATAATAATAATAATGATAATAATAATAAAAATAATAGTAATAATAATAATAATAGTAACAATAATAATAATAATAATAATGATAATAATAATAATAATAATAATAATAATAATAATAATAATAATAATAATAATAATAATAATAATAACAATAATAACAATAATAAAAGCACCACAATCCACATCATCACATTTTCGCAGAAGAAAATACAACCACATCACCCTACTTCCACTGAAATCTTTCCCACATCACTGTATCCTTTCCACATCATCCTTACCATCGTCCTCACATCAGCACGCTCTCACCACTCGCTTCACTCCACTCATCACTCCATCATCTCCAACAATAATACCTCACCACATCATCGCCCTCACGTCACCACACCCACCTAGAGCGCCCAGAATAGCGGCCGACCAGAAGACCTCCCCGCACAGCGCCGGCAGGAAAAGCAGGCCGCCCATTCGCTCGCCGAACTTATCCTGAAGGGGGTCCAGCATGGTGACGTAACCCTGGGAACGCATCTTGTTGGCGAAGAGGACGCCGCCTGTAGGAGTAAGGGTAGGGGAGTGGGGGAGGGGGAGAAGGGAGGGGGAGGGAGGGAGGGAGGGTGGGAGGGAGGGAGGGAAGGAGGGAGGGAGTGTAAGAGGGAAGGAGGAAGGGAGGGAAGGAGGGAAGGAGGGAGGGAGGGAGGGAAGGAGGGTGGGAGGGAGGGAGGTGGGAGGGAGGGAGGGAGGGAGGGAGGGAGGGAGGGAGGGGGGAGGGAGGGAGGGAGGGAAAGAAGGAGGGAAGGGAGAGGAAGGGAGGGGGAGAAACGGGTCGTGAGTGATGAGTTTTTTATGAGCAATCTATTTACCTATCTATCTGTATGTCTAACTCTCTATGTCCCTATTTGGATCTTTCTATCTATATATGCATTTCTTTCTATCGATCTAAATATATATAGATAGATAAGGTGGATACATAGGTAGATAGATTTACATCTAGATATGAGCATTTTTTTTCCTAAAGTAGACACGAATGGTTTTAGTTTGCAAAATTAAAGGAAGTTTGGCCTCATTTTTTTTTTTGACGCTGTCCAGTAAGAAAATTAGCGAAAGAAAGAAATTTACACTGAAATGGACCACAGTTGTTTAATTTCCAATATAAGAAACTATATTACAATGGGAAAAAGATGAACTTACCAAATATTAAAGACATGGCGTAACCGAAGGGCGCTTGACACCAGACAAGGCCCGTGTCATATACCGCCTCTGCTGTTCCATTGATGTAACCGCCCCCGACCCACGTAGCTGCAGACAGAGGGAGAAGAGAAGTCGAATAGTGTATTCATGGGGAATGGTACGTGAATATTGGTGGTGGTGATGGTGGTGATGGTGGTGATGATGATGATGGGGGTGGTGGTGGTGATAAGGATGACGATGATAAAGATGATGATGACGATGATGATGATGGTGATGACGATGATGATGATGGCGATGACGATGACGACGACGATGATGATTCAGACCCAAAATTCAACCCCAAAACCACAAAATAAGATCACCGAGGACCGGTTTAAAAAAAGGACGACCAATTTCGTACTCACCCGTCATGGTAAATATCCCGACGAAGACGCCTATACTTCTCCCGGCCAGCATCACGTCATCAGCATCATCCTCTCCCTCAGGTTTCTTCTTAGCCGCCCAGATCCCCACCGCCAGAATTAGCAGGTAGAAGATCACGATGGCTATCACGCCTCCGATATTAATAGCCATTTTGCCGGTTGTTTTTTTTTTTCCGATCACACGTTTAAACAAATCCGAGGAAAAAGGAGTTGGGACGTCGTGTGTGTGGTTTATCGAGGTTTAGACCTACACTCAAGAGGGAGTCACGAGTGGTGTGTATTGCTTCTGAAGACACAGGAGGGGGTTGGGTGTTGCTGGTGTGTGTAGGGGGGTGTGAGGGGGGGTGTGGAGGGGTTGTTAACACTAGCGAGGGATGTCCGAAAGGCCAGGCTTGGCAGGAAACAACAACAACAAGAACAACAGTTAGGTGAATGTTTGGTTTATCTATGCTGTTTCTATCAGCTGGTTGGAAGGCCTTGTATAAAGCCGACTTTTCTATTTTCTGAAAATAGGTTATTTTCTTTCCCTTTTTTTATGTAGACCTGTGATTTGAGTCTTTTTTTTATCACTGTTGATTTACTTTTCAATTCCCAAGTAAGCCACCTTGTAGTTGTCTTCGTCTCTGATGAAAACCTGCGAAAGAAAAAAAATAATTGGTTAGTTGGACGCTCTGGTAATCAGGGAAATATTTTATATTTGTTTGTTTGTTTGTTTGTTTTTGCGTTTTCTTCTATCGCTGTTTTTTTTTTCCTCTCTTTAGTTCTCTGTTTATTTGTCTATCTGACTCACAGTCTCCATTCACCTCAATAATAATTATGATAATAATAATAATAATAATAATAATAATAATAATAATAATAATAATAATAATAATAATAATAACAACAACAACCAGAAAACAACAGTAACAATAATAATAATAATTATTATTATTATTATTATTATTATTATTATCATCATCATAATTATAATAATAGTAATTATGATAACAATAATAACAATATAATGATAAAAATGATAATAATAATAATAATTGCAATAATAATAATGGTGATGACAATAACAATAACACTAATAATAATGATGATGATGATGATAATAATAATAATATAAATATTAATAATACTAATAACAATAATAATAATACACGTAATAACAGACTATCATAAAGCTAAAGTGAGGAATGGGAACAAACTTTCCGATTTGTTTTTTTACGAATTCGATTTGCATAACAAATCAGAAGAGAGAAAAGTAATGGAAAAGGAAGGAGAATTGCCTTGGAAGAGAGAAGAAAACGGAACATGGAAGACGAGGCTGAAACAAAAGAGGAAGAAAACAAAAGGAAATAAAAAAAAGAAGAAGAAGAAGATGATGATGAAGAAAGAGGAAGTAAAGGAATAGAAGGAGAAAGAGAAGGAAGACATAAAAAAAAGAAAAAGGAGAAGAAGGAAGAAAAAACAAGAGACACAGTGCAAAGACAGATTAGTTTGCTCGTTAGCCCCGGATGACACACACTCCTCTGTTCGTATTATCCACACAGGGACACCAATCAGTTTCCGCATCCAACGCACCTTCGAGCGAGATTGGTGAGTTATTATCACCGTTGACTCCGGCGAGATAGCGTGGTCCTTAAGGCTAACACTGAGAAATCGGCGCTGTGTTTAACTTCTCCAAGACAGAACTGCCACGATATATCAAAACATATTGTGGGTGTGGGATGTCCACAGAATGTCTTACCAGATGTGGATAGATAAACTCGCGTAAATCCTTTGGTGATATATTGACAGTAGAGACTAGATACACGAGGCTCGGAAGTGACATACATCCATCCCGTTCCGTGGTGACAGTGCGACTGACTTCTGTCTACAATAATAACAGTTTGCCATATCATTGGTTCATACACAGTTTGTTCACTAATATGTTACACATATACACACACATATGACGTCAGAATGCATTGCAAGGTCTCTCTCATGCCACGGAGGATTTGAGCGCCACACTGAAGTAAATGAGTGTGATTCTTATTATTTTGTCTTTCAACTGCATCACTGATATTATCGTGGGTTCAAAGAAGGCAGTTAGATTATTAAATAGATAAATGAAATATATAACCCAATTTTATTGTCTTAGCTCCTTTAGATAGCAAGTGTATTTCATCCTCTGAAAGGTGAAAATCTACTGAACTCTACCGCCTCTTGTCCTCTACATTAAATTATATTTTGTGCAGTTGATGAAAGTCCAAGATGTAGGTTTGCATTGCATGACTGAGTAAACCTTAATATGAGATTTGCAATTAGCACACCTTTTACGTGCGTTTTCCACCCGTTCTTAAGGGCTGTAAACATCTAATTATCTCATTTTTAGGACGTGATCATTATATTAAGATCAGTTGTCAAAGAATACACATTCGTATCAGAGCAACACATATATTCCGCCATGATTGCATGTTCTCATTCCTCTCTCCTCTTGCCCTTTCTCTTCCCAACTGCTTCTGTTACATCTTCGTCATGATATCCAATAATGATGTTGACAATGAAGGACCTCAGTGCTACTCCTTGAACCACTCCGAGTCCCACTTGAAACTCCAACTCCGCTTTTCAGTTTAGTGTGCACATTTCGCTTCATGTCTTTCGTTAGACTCACTAATTTTTTTTTTCTGGAAACATCTTTTTGCTTAGATTTCATGTCACGGGAATCGATCAAAGGCTTTCTCCAGGTCCATGAACACGTACCGAGGTTTTTTTTAACTAATTTTCACCATTATCTCTGAAACAGGATTCGTAAAGAAAAACGTAGGCTTAGGCAGATATTTCAGATTTTCGCAAATTGTCATTAATTTAATGTATTGCCGCCAACTATCCACGAACTCTTAAGAACTGAAACACGATGTAAATCCTGCCTCTGCTTAAGTATTCCTCTCACAGCCTCGCCAGGATAACATGCCAACGCAAACAATCCATGCTAATTAACTGGTTATTTACAGGCCAGTTGTAGTGCGGTATGACAGCGCATATTATGTATAATTGGCGCTAACTGAGATATGTTGGGATGTTCTGCCTGTGCATATATCTCTGCTACACCAGATTACTGTTAAAGTCCTAAGTATGTAAGTATATGTATGATAATGTATTTGCATTGTTGGTTAAGTCGCATATCTGAGACTGCTTTTGGAGGTATTTATCTGAGCTTATTGGTCTCATAACATTTAACACGATCCGGTTTAAATCTTCATCAGAAACGTGTCTGGTATACCGAATGTTCTCGTGCCGTGTTGAGGCATGAAGAACAATGCAACAACATCTCTAAGAATAGTCTCTCTAGCAACTAAACTATTCTTCCTTCTTCCGCTTGACATACCCTTCTTTTTTTCAGACAATAAAGTTCATCACGGCAAGATAGGAAACAAGTGAAGAGAAAGCTGGAGCAGGAAAAAATACTAGTCTACCGAAGTGTCCCATAACTAAAGGAAAACGGAGGCGATCCCCCCCTGCCTCAAGGGGATTCAGGGGCATTATAGACGACTTGAGATGGATCCCCTGGTAATCGTATTTGATACTTTATTACACCAGAAGTGACAAAGAGCATCAGAAAGCACGGTATATCACGACGACGTATCCAAACTAACAAACTTATATATATTGTTTGTTTACGATACATATTTTTTTGTTATTAAAGTGTAGTAAGTATGGTAAAAAAAAAATCCAGAGTAAATAGAATACATTTCTTACACAATAAGATGCCTGGCGGCCTAGAAAAATACGAAATACGAGAAAGACTCTTTTACATAATACATTTTTTTCCCAATATTCTTCGTACAATTTTCTCCGAACATCGGAAACACACATTCTTATTATATCATCCCCATGCATACGAAATCCAAGGCTCTGACTAAGAAAAAGAAAAACAAATAGCACGCGCCAAGAACAATAGACGAGGAAAAAAAAAGAATAACGGCTCCAAGGGGAATCGAAACTCTTTATGTAAGCCAATGAGCAGCGGAAAATACGGGCCAAGGCGGATTAGGCGACACACTTTATGGAGTTTTACAGGTTTATCTTTTAAGTGGCGCCCTCTGAGACCGAAGTTGCGTCGCGCTGAGGAGTTTAATTTCTTTTGGGGCGCTTTTTGTTTGCAATTCCTTTCTTGAAGTATGAAGTTTCTTGATAAAATGGTAAATGGTATTGCGGCGAAAATTAATAAATATATAGAAATCAAACTAACCATTTTCACTATATTTACCTTAAAAGATAAGCAAAAGACAAAAATCCGCTTTTATCAATCCCAAATACTTCGAAGATCGTGAATAGGGAGAGAAAGAAAGAGAGAGAAAAGGAAAAACGACGTAAAAACTAAGTAAATGCGTTTTCGTCTTTCGCTTATATCCACAAGAAGTCTGATACACTGACTCCGCCTGAGATTGGCTCGACACTTGAGCCGAGAAGGTGACGGGGCGAGAGTCTCAAGGGAGAGAGAGAAATAGGGAAGGGCGGGGAAGGGAGGGAGGAGGGAGGGGGACAGGGGGAGGAAGGGAGGGAGGGAGGGAGGCGGGGGGAGGAAGGACGAGGGAGAGAGGGAGGGAAGGAGGGAGGGAAACGAGGGGAGGAAGGAAGAGGGAGAGAGGGAGAAAGGGAAAGGGAGGGAGGGAGGAAGGAAGAAACAGTGGGTAGGAAGGTGGAGGAAGGGAAGGATGAAGGAAAGAAGAGGGAAGAGGAAGGGAAGGAGACAGGGGAAAGGGAGGAAAGGAAGCGGATGGATGGAGGGAAAAGAAAGGAAGGAAAAGAAGAAAGAAAGAAAGGAGAAAGGCGGATTAAGGGAGCAAGACAGGGGGAAGGGAGAGAAGGAGAGAGGAAGCTGGAGTGAAGAAGAGAAACAGGAGAAGGAAAATAGAGGAAGGGAAGGAAAGAGACTAAGGGAAGGGAAAGGAGAAAGAGAGGAAAGTTTAAGGAAGGAATGAAGATGGAGGAAGGGAGAAAGGGAAAGGAGAGAGGAAGAAGACGGAGGAGGGAAAAAGGGGACGAAACAAAAGGTAGAAGAAAGGACAGAGAAAAAGACGAACAGAGGAAAGAGACGAAGGGAAGTAAAAAAGAAGCAGGGGAGGGAAATAATGATAATAATCAAAAAGGAAAATGATGATGACGAAGCAGGGAATGAGCAAGGGAAGAGGAAGGAGATAAAATAGAGTGCGGAAGATCAAAAGAAAATAAAAGAACAAAAATACAGTAAAAGAACAGAGAAAAAAAAGAAAAAAAGGAATAAAGGAACCGAAAAGAAAAAAAAGGAGATCAGTTTAGAGAAACAGCGAGTTGGAGAGACAAAAGAAAAGGAATAATGACAATAAGGCATATGGAGGAAAAGAAAAAGAGAAAATGATATACAGATAGATTGAGACAGGGGGCGGGGGCATTGCAAACCAGACAGACAGACAAAGAGACAACAATAAAGAGAGAGAACAAACAAACAAAAAACAACACAGAGAAAAAAAAACAAGAAGTCACCTGCTCCCTCCTTCCCTCCCTCCCTCCCTCCCTCCCTCTCCCTCCTTCCTTCCCTCCCTCTCCTTTCCTCCATCTCCCTCCTTCCCTCCCTCTCCCTCCCTCTCTCCCTCTCCCTCCCTCCATCTCCCTCCATCCCTC